CACCGTCCAAATAGTGGTAAGCAGGATCAAATCAGCAAAGTTACATCTACTACTGATACTCTTTCATGCCCATAATTCTTCCCTCACTGACCCAGCCATTACGCAACTAATACCAAGCCACCCGAGACCATCATCCAAAGCTTATACACCCATGGGCACCACAATAGCACATGATTCCAAGTCTCCTCATTCCTCTTGCACAAATAGTATGCATTCACCAGAACTTTATCCCTTCTCCTCAGCTTATCTATAGTTAAGATGCACTCTCTGCTAGCTTCCCATACAAAGAAAGACACCCATGGAGGAACTTTAACCTTCCATATCTGTTTATACGGGATTTTAATAGCATCGCTCTTGCACTTGAACAACCACTTGTAAAATGACTTAACTGAAAAAAACCCCATTTTTCGTGGGGCTCCAGAGTGGACTATCATTATTATCAACCAGTGACAACCGCGAAAGGAGACACAGCAGTTTCTCATATTCATCTATTTCCCAATCATTTAAATTCCTTGAGACCAAAATCTGCCATTCCCTCTCCCCTTCTAGTCCTCCAATGTAACAATCACATACCCTCACACCTCTTTGTTGAGCTATAGTAAATATCTGGAAATTGGTCCCTTAGAGTACCAAAATCCATCCACAGAATCATCAGTTATTTTTTGAAAGTACTTTTGTTTTGTAGTTCTTATTTTCTCAACGTTTAGTTGCCTTTATTCATAACTACCTACCCTGATAGATGGTAACAGAATCTTTAATATGAAATTTCCGTGTTTTTTTTGTCCATTTGCTTTAATTTTTCATTTTGATGGAAAAATTATTATTAAACTAGGAATGAAACTTTACATTTATATATTCATAAAGGAAAAGAAGCTTTATTAGAAGGAAAGATGTCTTCCAAGCAAAGACAATAGAAAATGAACATTTCTTTGTGAAATGGACAAAGAGGACTCTGCCATCCCTCAAAAAAAGACTTTCACCTTGGCTGACAAAGAAGCCAAGTTATCATGTGGTGACTAGAATATTATGGGACTGGACATCATGAAATTGTTCAGTCCCTTGTTAAGGAGGAAGAGTGAACTTCTATGTTCTGTTGATTAGAAGTTGCTATACCATAGGTTTAAGGACTAGTTCAGTGCGTCCTCTAGGGCATTGGTGGGGTGGCATCCCCCAAAAATGTTTTGGAATATTGGTTGCAATTCTTAAAGAAAGGGCGACTTTAAGGAGCTATCTGTTTTTTCTCTCTGCAATCCCATTCTTTTGTGTGGTATCTACACAAGAATTTTGATAGATGATTCCTCGTTCCAACAAATAATCTCCTGGAACATTATTGAAAAATTCTTTCGTATTATCTGTCCTGAAGATTTTTCTTTCTAGCATCAGTCATACTGTCACTGACTATTTTTCTTAATTTGTTGAATCTTTCAGGATTGTTGGTATGGGTGGCATCGGGCAATCTCTTCTGCTGGTTCTTCTTTGTGGCACATGTACTTTTCTAACTTCAATATCTTTGAGTGCGATTGCGACTAATGGTGCAATGAAGGTATTGCAATGTTTTTTTATAACACTGTTAGAGTTTTAGTCTTTTGGATTCGAAATGTTCTTGTGCGATTGAGATTTCTTTTATTTTCTGCTGAATGATTTAAAGATTTTATTTGATTTTTAAGTGATTTTTATGGTTTTTATACCTCCAGGGTGGGGGTCCGTATTATCTTATTGGTCGTGCCCTTGGCCCAGAGGTGGGAGTTAGTATTGGATTATGTTTCTTCCTTGGTAATGCAGTTGCTGGAGCTCTGTGAGTATAAATTCTGGATCTTTTTTCTCTTTGATATTTCTTTACTGGGGACGTAAGATATATGCTGTTTAGCATTTATAATTGTGTCTATGCATTTCATTTACTTTTGGCTGTGGTTGTAGTTATGTATTGGGAGCTGTTGAAACCTTCTTAAAGGCTGTACCTGCTGCGGCAATCTTTAAAGGTACTTATTTAGAGTTCTTTGTGGCTAAAGTTAATTTTTTATTTTTCACAATTCAGAACATTTATTTAAACCTGTTGCCTTCATTTAATGAGTAAGTTCTTTAGATGGTTTTCACACCCTTCGGCTACTCTAATCTTGTCTTCTGAATATCATAACTAAAATTCCTGCCATGAGTACAAAGAAAATTCCTTTTGTCTGTTTGGCATATCTATATTCTGTTTCTGTATGAAAGGAGGATTTACCAAATATATTGTCGTTGTGATTTTCTCACTCAACATGATTAGGTAGCTTCTTGGTTTTTAGGGGATATTTGGAGTAAGTGAACTAACTTTGTGGAATTTATTTGGAAATGTATACGTACTACAATTATGGGAGGATGGAATACTCAGTATGTGAAATTTCATCTCCAATGAATTTGAATTTCAAGGGAAACTGAGTAGACACATTTTAAATTGATGGACTTTTAAACCATCAATTTATAATGTTTTCTTTTGGTTTCACTCGAATTTTTTTTGGGAGTTGATCTTATCCTCTTACGGTTGAACGAAGTATACATTTCCAGATGAGTTATAAGATATTTCATATTGAGGGCATTTCCTAATGTCTTTATCTTAACATGGACTTCTCTGATTGATGCAACAGTTTATCTATAGGGACAGGCACGTGCATTCTTAAAAGATTTGTATGTTATGCAATGGACATGTTGATTGTTGTTGGTAATGAGTGAAAAAAAGCAAATATAACCAATGATGTTAAATGTGACTCTAATTTATGTTTTTATTGCAGAAACTGTTACGAAAGTTAATGGTACAGCAACTGCAGAACCCATTCAAAGTCTGAGTTCACATGACCTACAAGTTTACGGGATAGTTGTGACTATTATACTTATATTTATTGTGTTTGGTGGGGTGAAAATGATCAATCGTGTTGCTCCTGCTTTCCTGGTACCTGTTCTGCTCTCCATGTTCTGCATATTTATTGGTATATTTTTGGCAAGGAAGGATGACCCTGCAAGTGAGTGCATTTTATACTTTTTCTATTTACATTTCAATTGTGCTCATGCATATGTATGTCTGTCACTCTTTCGCTCTTCTTTTGCATGAACAATTGTAGGACCGTTTGCCCTATGATGGCAATAGTATTATGTTTAATAATAATTTAATTAATGAATGCACATCATACATATTATATTTTGACTTACATTTGAAGAGAAACTATTGTAAACTTCCATGCCCTGGATGTATATGATGTGCGTCTTTTATTTTATTATGACAATGAATGAGTAGAAGTGTCTGTTTGTTTAGCTAAGCTATTGCTTGCGTTTAGGGTAGCAAAAAACTGAGTTAAACCAAATACTTCAGTACTTGGCGCAGGGCTGCAGCGAGCAGGCATGCTGCACGCGTTGCATCCTAGTTTTATATTTTTTAAGTTGTGGTAGGCTTGAGCTCAGCTTGAAACTTGATTTGAATATCTTTTTGGGCTCGATCTCGATTTGCTTAAAGAAACAGAAAGGCTGGACTTGAAATTAAGTCGAATAAATTCGAAGTACATGAAAGCAAACTTAATAAGTTTGATAAGTTTGATAGGGTCCTAGGTTTTGGATCTAGTCATGGCACCCTGCTTGTATGAAATCCTGGAGCAAGGAAGCTGTTTGCTTCCCAATTTTCTGGCCTTGCCAGCATATGTTGAGGCTCATCTAAGAGAATTTCCGATCTTTTAGAGATAAACTCTTTGTCCATGCTCACATCAACCTCCCTCCTCATAGCTGACAATTCCTAGGATAAGCTTTCATCCTAAGTGGCGAGCTCCTGCTACCTCTCTTCTGAGTGGGCACAATCCTCCTGGTATTGCTTCATGAACGTCTCAAACTATTGTTGGAAACTTTTGAAGTCCTCCATAACCACCACTCTAGTGCCAATTTGATAGGATCCTGGGTATTGGATCTAGTCATGGGGCCTGCTAGTATGAAATCCTGGAGCAAGCAAGCTGCTTGGTTCCTAGTTTTCCAGCCTTGCCAGCCTATGTTGAGACTCATCTAAGAGAGCTTCCAATCTTTTAGAGATAAAATCTTTGTATTAATAGGTTGATGATTTTGTTTATGATGATATATGTATTTATAAGGAAGCTAATTGAATTAGATCCCTATTACAATTCTAAGAATCATAGTACTAGTTTCGTTATAATTTCCTAATCTAAATCTAAATCTAAATCTAAATAATTAGTATAAATCTTTAATTAATTCTAACTCTTATTGGTTCCTTACAAAAATCAACTTCCTACGAGACTCAAACTCCTTCCTTTTGCTGCTTCCATAGGTCCCACGCCAATTGTTTTCTGTATTGTAACAAAGTTTAGTAAAGAGCTTGTTTAACATTCTATTTATTTATTTATTTATTTTGAGATAAAAAGTTATTAACAAGGTACTAAATGGGTATCTCTCACGTACAAAAGATTTACAGTTGTCTTAGAGTATCAATGAATGACATTCCCAAAATGCTCATCTCTAATAATGTCATGCACTAACAAAATAGACCCAAAATAATGGAACCATCTTCTCTCAATATGTTTAACATTCTATTTATTTAATTTTAAAATTTTTCACGTTTAACATTCTATTTATTTAATTTTAAAATTCTTCACAAATATAGTTATACGATTAAAATATAATTATTCTTAATTGCATTATTTACAATATTTTTTTTATGAATAAATTTAATTTATTAATAGGTAAAACTAAATATCTTTGGACTCGAGTTGGCTTGTTTAACTAAATAAACTTTTCCTATGACTCAAATTTGGGAGTTTGGCCAAACTTGAACCGTGTTTAACGAAAAGGAAGAAAAATTGTTCACAAACCTCTCCTGATAGTTGCCCCAAGTACTTAGGCTGACATTGGTCAAAAGTCATGATCAAAACTTTTGAGTTAAAAGCTGCATACTATTTTATGAAGCTTCCTGTGTTTAGGAATGTCCGGCAATATAAAATGTAAAAACAATAATGAACATATAAAACTATGACTGAAAACAATTTAAACATTATTATGAATTTTTCTTTAAAATTTCTAAATTTATTTTCTTTTACTTTTTGTATTCATTGTATTTCTTATAAATATTATTAATTGTTTAATTTGAAACTATTTAAATAACTTACGATAAAATGGTTAATTATTAATAATTAAGTATCAAAATCTTATTCTAAAATTGACGGTTGGAGTTTGAATCCTATTCTTATCCCATCTCAATAATATTATCAAAATTTTATATTTTATGAAAGGAACCTATTAAAGAGATGAATTGAATAAGAGAAGATTGATAGAAGTTTCACTGTAGATGCTATTTATATCATATATCAAAAGTATCTACTTTTAGAGTCTTCTATAAACAAAACAAAAGAAAAGAGACCAATACGAGATGTCTACTAACTTTTTCTCATCTATGAGTGTGATCATTCAGCCATTGGCTAAGGGTCTCAAATCAATTGTCCTTAATCCTATAGATGGGGGTCAGTTTCCTTAGAAAAGATCTTCTATTCTTCTTTCTCCATGATAACTGAAATATACCAATAAAGCAATCACCCTGATGTTTGTCTTATCCGTTCTATCCTGTCTCAGGCCCATATTTCACAATTTTCCTCTGGCCAGTGAACCCCTTGATTGCTAAGGTTGCTTCTCTGAGATTCCTCGTACAACAGTTGCCACATAGGGTTTTGCTGAGGCATCTTCTCCACCCTGTAGCATAGTATTTACCGAGATTTCTTTTTCACTTTCCTTCAGATATCAACAGTGAGGAATGAGGAACTATGCCATCAAGATTTCCCTAAGTTTAAAAAACAGCTATTTGTGTTGGGCCTTTATCTTTCAAACTGCTTGCGGAGAAGTTGAGAGGAAAAAACCTTTTGACCTTTACCTTTCAAATTAGCCATCAAGATTCCTAATATCATGTTCCTTTAGTTTTTCCCTTGCTGGCATTATACTGTTTTGATTTCTCTACATGATAAAAAATTTTGATTTTTCTAGTTTTTGTGTGTTTTCTTTGTTGTCAAATTGTCCTTTTATGCCAGATTTGAGGGGAACCAATGCATTGATTTTTACTTGCAATTCTTCCCACAGGTGGAATTACTGGTTTGAGTTTACAAAGCTTCAAAGACAACTGGAGTTCAGATTATCAGACTACCAATGATGCTGGAATTCCTGATCCTGATGGAAAAGTAGACTGGAATTTCAAGTAAGTTATGTAAACATTCTTGAGGCTGTTAGTAATTCTTGCTGGTCTGAGCATCTATTATGCACTACATGCCTCTCAAGTTTCTTAATTTTATTTCTTATAAAGCGTGTTTCTACTTCTGAAGGCCATATAGGATCTTCTTTTCTCTAAGATTAGCTGTTTCTTTAGATCTGGGCTAACTTGTTAACTTGCATGCTTATCTGGTTGTAGAAAATAATGTGAAGATGCGTATTTCACTATTGAAAAAATCAAAGTCCAGTATCGCCCATTACTCTGGTGACAAATACTCTATATTATAATTAAGTTCCTTCTTTAAGAATTTCTTTGGTTTTGGATGACCCAATTTTACTAAACCAAAGTGCTTTCATGCGGTAGACAAATCCTTGATCCATCCTTAATCGCAAACAAGATAGTGGGTTATATTCATATATCTAAGGGAAAAGGCTAATTGTCAAATTAGAAATGAGTAATTGAGCGCAATGAGATAAGGCCTATGATATGGTTCACTGAAGCTTTTTAGAAAGGGTAATGGAGTGCAAGGGACTTGGATCAAAGTGGAGAAGTTGGACTGGAGTTGCTTATTTTTAGTCCCTTTCATAACTGTCAATGAAAAACCTCGAGAGTGGTTCTTGCATCGAGAGTTTTGAGGCAGAGGGATCCTTTATCCTCTTTCCTCTTTACTTTGTTGGTGGATGCATTGAGTAGGATGTTGACTTGAGCGAATGAGCCAAATTTGGTAAAGGGTTTATTGTGGGCAATTGATAGGGTAGAGGTTTCGTACATACTTTGTTGATCACAATTCTATTCTTGCAGTATGATGATATATCAATCAGAAACCAACTCACTTTTATCCAAGTTATTGACACATCTCAGATCTGAAAATTTTTTAGATAAAATTTTCAGATCTTACAGTTTGATATTTGTCAATCCACTGTTCTTTGCTAGAGACGTGATCTCTTTCCTTAGCAGTGGATGCAGAATCAAAACAACTTTGGTGCTTATAAGCAAATTTCATGAGAGAACAGCACACAAACCATACACATGGGCCTAAAATGTTTTCAATTCTTCCTATTTCCTAGATTTTGGTAGTTGGTTCTTCATGCATTATTTTAAATGTTTCTAACTAACCCTGTACTTTGATGTGTCCTAACTACATTTTCTTTTGCCTACTATTCAGTGCATTGGTTGGTTTATTTTTCCCTGCTGTCACGGGCATCATGGCAGGTTCAAATCGATCTGCCTCATTGAAGGATACTCAGCGCTCAATTCCCGTAGGAACATTGGCTGCAACTCTAATGACAACTTCACTGTATCTAGTTTCTGTCTTATTTTTTGGAGCTCTAGCAACCAGAGAGAAGCTTTTGACAGACAGGTATTTTTATCTTCTCCAAAATCATTTATTGTTGATGCACATATGCATGCATATCCACTTTTAATTTTTTTTCAATATTCTAGTTGTTCTTTTACTATTAAGATTCTCCCTTTTTGTATAACATATGCGCATCTTGTACATTTCATGCAGTTGTTTTGAGTTTTTGCAGTGTCTCAATGGATCTGTAGACCATGAAATGTTTCTCTTTTTATTGGATGTTTTTAATAGCTAAATTAAAATAACAGATTATGGTGAGTGTTCCCTTGTGCTGTGTCTCAATTGCTATGTCATCTTTCACTTTAATTCTCTAAAGATTGTTTTTATTTTCAACTATCACACGTATATTATGCAAAAAAATATATGATTGTAAAAAATGAAAACTAGAAAATATTTTTTTTGTAGCAAAAAGATCCTAATTCCTCCTATTGTTGGCATGTATATCCAGATTCCAGAGTGGACCAGACTATATCCGTGTAACCACTGCTTTGGAATTGATACTTAACCTTCCATGATGTCTTTTGACATAAATTAGGGGAATGGGTTGTATTGCAGGTTTGAATGGGTTAACTAGCTAGTCCTCAGTTCTTATTAGTGTTCATATGCTTTGGCTTGGTGGAACTTATCCCTTGTGTAGAAGATAGTTTTTCCTTGATTTTAGTTTTCCCTCAATTTCTTTATTTCTAATTTTTCCCTGCAAACTGATATTCTGGTTAAAATTGTTTTCCACTTATTCTGAATGTAAATTAACTCTTGCTGTTCTATGCTTTTATGCAGGCTACTTACTGCTACAGTTGCTTGGCCTTTCCCAGCATTCATTCATATAGGAATTATTCTCTCAACTTTAGGGGCAGCTCTTCAAAGCTTAACAGGTGCCCCACGCCTGCTTGCAGCCATAGCCAATGATGACATTCTTCCTATTATTAATTACTTCAAGGTTGCAGATGGGAGTGAACCTTACATCGCTACGCTTTTTACATCGTTCATCTGTATTGGATGTGTTGTTATTGGGAATCTGGATCTCATCACACCTACTATAACTATGTTTTTTCTTTTATGTTATGCTGGTGTGAATTTGTCTTGCTTTCTTCTGGATCTTCTAGATGCTCCCAGTTGGCGACCTCGGTGGAAATTCCACCACTGGAGTCTCTCCCTTATTGGAGCATCACTTTGTATGGGTATGATCTCTTGTTTATACGAATCTTTGAAACCCCCAACCTCTCCTTTTTTCTGTCTTCACATTCTCTTTTATGGCACAGAATTTTTTTTTGTAAAAAAAAGACAAGCATTCACAAGAAAGGATAAGGTGTTACCATTGGGTTCTTTTAGATTTTTCTTTTGGAGTGTCCTGTTTCCAGAATTACTATAGGCCTTGTTTATTGGAATATCTGGGATCTACAAAATTTAAAATCTGAGGATTTAAAACAGCAAATTTCCGGTGCTAGAGTTAATATTTTTCCTCTATATGATTTAGAGATTAGGAATATTAATGTTTTTAAAATATATATATATATATATTAATAAGAAAAGAGGATGTAGAACCAGTTGGAGGACAAGCTATTCTCCCAGAAGGACAAAAAAGGAACATACAAGATAACAAAAAGCCTAAGAATTTTAGTGCTTATTTGATAATTTTTTCTTCGATGGGAAAAAGAAGCTTCACCAGGATAAGAGAAAAACAAATGTAGGGAATAAGAATAAGGCATTACAACTGATACAACAAAAGAATAAGGCATGGACGAAAACGTCCTTCGATGAAGCTCTTAGATGGCTATATCAGAATATTTCCCATGAACTTTGGCCCATAAGGAAGATAAAAATGTAACTATATCCCACAACTCAAAAGAAGAATAACAGTCGTCAAAATTCTGTTATTTGTTTCCAGCCAAATTATCCATAATTCTGCAAAAATTGCCCTCTCCATAAGGGCTTAGCTCCCTTCTTAACCTCCTTCCCATTAATATATGAGTTCATTATGCCCTTAATAGTGGGAGGAACAATCCAACAAACACCAAATAGGCCAACAAGTTCGGTCCACAAATTCCTTTGCAGTTTTACAATATAAGAATAGATGTGAATGTGTCTCTCCTTTGTGGCACATAACATAGATATCAGGAGACAGTGCGTTGAGGCCTTCAGACTTGTAACATCTTAATGGGTAACTGTCCATGTAAACACATTTATCTTTGAAGGAACTGATGCTCTCTAGAATACCTTGTGATAGGAGAATGTCTGGAGATTGGGTTTTTCATGAGATGATTGAAGGACAGACTTGCAAGAGTACAAGCTCGGGTATTCTGAGGTCCATATTAGTGTCTAGTTGAGTTGTGATATGAATTGGCTCCAATAGAGTCACAATTGTATTTCTGAAGTCTCCCTTTTTGGTCGGTTTATGGTTAAAATGGAGGTTCTGTACTACCGTTCCATCTGGGATGGATGTGAAACATACAGGTGGATTATGTCTGGATGATAAATAGAACAACTAGGAAACTGTGTGGCCAACAGCTGCACCCTTACCCAAGTATATCATCCAAACTTGACTTTTAAGCCATCATTCACTTGTGACCTGGTTAAAGGAAGAAATAGAGGATCCACTTGGGAGATGGCTTTCCAGGAGTGCAGTGAGAAATGGATCTTCCTGCTATGGCATCCCATCTGTCCCTTCTACCCTTATGAATATTGCTAATCACTTGTGCCACAGTGTTAATTTTATAATAACAACAACAGTTTCAAAATATGTTGTGTAAATTTTCTAAGATTATTTCACACAATTATTCTATTGTATTATGATGAAGAACGATACAGCAATATATAGGAGAAGGATTACACCAGGAAACCCTAACCTTTTGTCCTTAGTTCGGTAAGATAAAGATAGAATTTGAGAGGAAATCTTGGAGGATCTGGTTATTGAATGACCAAGAATCCCCATTGCATAGGAGTCAACCAAATCTAGGATTACATAGAACCCCACATCATTATCACTTTCCTAATCTAGAATCCTACTGGTTGCAAAGAAAGAACTAAGTGTATTATAATGGCTATAACAGTTTGATTTTAGTGGTGTAATTTGTAGAATAATAGATATAATTAAGTGGTGTTAAAACAAGTTTGTAAAGAGAGGTAACTTAAAACTGTGTTTTCAGTGTTTATGATAATTTTAAGGGTACCCTTCATAATAGGAGCAGTAAGTAACATCGACAGTGGTATATGACTGTGGTTGCAGTGACAAGATAAATGTCAGTCAAAGAGGGTACTGATCTTGGTAGGTTGGTGGTGGTGGTTATGGTCGTGGTCTTGATACTGGTTACCAATGCAAGTTTAAGGATGGGTTTGTAAAATTCAAGACATGGCAATTAGCTGGTATGTGCTAGTTCTTATCTCCTAAAGATTCTTAATTATTTGAGAACCATAAATACATAACAGGACTAGAATCACTATTGATAGGTTGCTTCGAACAAGATTATCACTGAATTATGATAACTGGTCATCAGCTCAGGAGAGAAATAACCTTCAGCTTATGCTTGGTGATTTCACTTCCCATCCATTTTCTAATGGATGCTTCCTGGAATCTGGTGCAGATTTCTTGAAGTAGTGTGGAGATTGAACAAGCTTAACTGGTAATTGGCTCCCCCTACCTACTGTAGATTGGGAAGTTTCTGTCAAATTAAAGAATTGTTTGCCAAATATAAGCAGACTTTTTCATTAGAAATTACAACTTTGGAACTTACTATTAGGAACATAGGTTAAATTAAATAAAAAACAGGTCCTGTTAGTTTCTATTGGTTTGAGCGAAAATGACTTGAAAATATTTTCAGTTAAAGATGTCCAAGATGTCCTCTTTAGAAACTATAGATAGCATTGCAGCAATTATTTTTTACAGAATGGCATGCATTAGAAATCACATTAACTCTGAGGAAGATTACAGAAGTAGTTTATAAAGACTCAGATGTCTCAAATCTAACAATTTGATAAAATTTTAGTTATTAACATGCTAAATTTTTGTGTAAACAAGAAAGCTTGTCTCCTTTTTTTCAAAAAAAAAAATGCATTGTGAATTTCTCCTTTGATGAGCCAAGTATCTACAGTTATAACCAACTTATGATTACAACATTGATAGTTAACCATATTCGCAAACAAGAATTAGAGAAAACCAAGAAAAAGATAGAGCAAAAGAGTATGGGTTTACAAGAATAATTGAGCATTGAGAGAAAATGGAGGATCAGAGATAATGGCAATGTTACTTCACAGAGAATGAGAAAACAGAACACATAAAAAAGGAATATGTTTGATATGGGAAGGAGAGAGGCAATAGCAATGGAGATTATGAAGTCAAGAGAAGGTAGTTCCCCATTTCTAAAACTGGACAGTTTTTCTGTTTGACTTATCCTTTCCCCACGATGAAACTCAAAAATGTGAATAAAAGATGAACCATAGAAAATAATTTTCTATCAGCCAAATGAAGCCTTAGTTTAAATAAAGCCAGGTTTCTTTATCAAGCAAGAGATTTGGATATATGGCTAGCTATGATTTTTCTGTACCTTTCATTTCTTTCCGAAAATGGCCCTGGTGTAACAGTTATGACATTTTTACATGTGCTTTCTTGGTACCTGCAAGTGTAAATTACAGTCCTTCTATTCTGTTTTGCTGCAGTTATCATGTTCTTAATCTCTTGGTCATTTACCGTTGTGTCTCTGGCCCTTGCAAGCCTTATATATAAATATGTGGGTCTTAAAGGCAAAGCAGGGGATTGGGGTGATGGTTTCAAGAGTGCGTATTTTCAATTAGCTCTCCGCAGTCTTAGATCACTAGGAGGTACGTATGCTTTCTGAGTTGTTTGACTTTGTGCAATAACTTTCTTCTCATTGTATATTTATTGCCATACTGTTTGGATGAACCACGAAATATTGCAAATCAATTGAAAATGAACTATGGCATAGGTGCAAATTTTATTACCATAATTTTGCCTATTTTGTAATAGACATTGAGAGATCAGGCATTTATCTAGCTCCCAAAATCTAGTATTTGCTCTTATTGTGGATTCCAACTCCGGCTGAAATTTCACAAAGACACTTGATTAATGATGCATGTACCAGGAATGCTGTTGTCCTTCCTGCTAAAGATTGACTGCTAGTGCAAATAAACAAAGGAGATGTTTTATTTTTTCTCTCAGTTTGCAGCCTATAGATGCATTTACCAGGAATTCTATTTCTCTTCATGCTATGGTGTTACCATTCCTATTACTGGACTTTTCTTTTGTCTGTATGTCCTTGAACTGATGTGAATACTGGATTGTGTTTACGGTGCTATTAACTGAACTTTCCTACCTAGTTGGTGTTTCACTGGAGGGTCCTTTTTCTCAGTCCGATTCGAGTCAATATTATTTGATCAATTGTTGTTAAATTTGCATATCAACATAAATTTTATCTTGCTTGTAGTAACGTTACCTCTTTCTTATAGTAATAATACACTTTTCAAAATCTAGTTTTAAGTACAGGTTTGGATTAAGCCTCATGGATTCTTCTGTGGTGCGAGGTGAGGGATGGAAGGAAGTCTGTTTGCTCTCTATTTTTCGTGGTTGTAGGAGGATATAGTATTTGCTTTCTTTATTTTTGCAATAATATTTTTTTCCTTAATAAGAGCAACGGCTGGTATGATGGAATAACAATGGTAGACCAAATTTTAACAAAAAGTGATTCAGATCTAACCGTTAAAAGGACTAAAATCTTAAATTCTTTTATTTACTGGGAACATGATGCTCATTTTTTCCCAGTTTCTTTGACATCTAATTTTCATTTCAATAGATCATGAAAATTGATTACCTTAAGACTCAAGTTGCCAAATATTTTCTGTTTTCCTTTGTTTTTTGAGCATTACGTCCACATTAATGCAAGGTCATGCGTGTGTGTTTACTCAGCTATGTAGAACTGTCTATACATTTATCATTTTGGCAACTGAACTCTGTGTATATTCCAGCAAGCCAGGTGCATCCAAAGAATTGGTACCCCATTCCCCTTGTATTTTGTCGGCCATGGGGAAAGCTACCAGAGAATGTTCCATGTCATCCCAAACTCGCTGACTTCGCCAACTGCATGAAAAAGAAAGGCCGTGGAATGTCCATCTTCTTTTCTATATTAGATGGAGACTACCATGAATGTGCTGAAGATGCGAAGAATGCATGCAAGCAGCTAGCTACCTACATTGAGTACAAGCGTTGTGAAGGTGTGGCAGAGATCGTCGTAGCACCTAATATGACTGAAGGCTTTCGCGGAATTGTTCAAACTATGGGCCTTGGCAATCTCAAACCCAATATTGTGGTGATGCGATATCCAGAGATTTGGCGGCGTGAAAACCTAACTGAAATTCCAGCCACTTTTGTTGGGATAATTAATGACTGCATTGTTGCAAACAAGGCAGTTGTTATTGTCAAGGGCCTTGACGAATGGCCCAACGAATATCAAAAGCAGTATGGTACAATTGATCTGTATTGGATTGTAAGAGACGGTGGTCTGATGTTGCTGCTCTCACAGCTCCTTCTTACTAAAGAGAGCTTCGAGAGCTGCAAGATTCAGGTGTTTTGTATAGCAGAAGAGGATTCTGATGCAGAGGGTCTGAAAGCTGATGTGAAAAAGTTTTTGTATGACCTCCGAATGCAGGCTGAAGTGATTGTACTCTCAATGAAATCATGGGATATGCAAGCAGACGGCGGACAAGATGAATCTTTGGAGGCATTTACTGCTGCGCAGCAGCGGATTGCTGGTTACTTGGCAGAAAAGAAGGCAGCAGCTGAGAAGGCAGGTACTCCATTGATGGCTGATGGAAAGCCGGTGGTTGTGAACGAGCAACAAATAGAAAGGTTTCTTTACTCCACTCTAAAGCTGAACTCTACAATACTAAAATACTCGAGAATGGCTGCTGTAGTACTTGTGAGCCTACCGCCGCCACCTATAAGCCACCCCGCCTACTTGTACATGGAGTATATGGATATGTTGGTAGAGAATGTGCCAAGGCTTCTGATTGTAAGAGGATATCGGAGAGATGTTGTAACTCTATTCACATAGTAGCCGGTAGATTGCACCGCGAGAGTACTACTTGCCGCTATTTTAAAAAGAAAATATTGTTCATAGTATTCCTCCCCTTTTTTACCAATTTTATTTTGGCTTAGCGTAGTCCCCTGTTACATTCATTCTTTTCTTTTCTGCCATTCACATCTGTCGGCGGGATTTTGTTGTTTTGTTAACTGCTAGATGCTAGCTGTGATAGAAAATTTTAATCATATTGGGATGGAATCATAAATCACGTTATACATTTTTCTGCTCTGAAGTTTGGTTTATTTAATCATATTGGTTTATTTACACGTATAATACACTCCTGTACTTGTAACATACAGAATTTTGAAGTTCAATTTTCTACCCCGTCTTTTTCTTTTTTCCTTTTTATTTTTCCAGAATTTATCTCGTCTCTCTTTATGTTGTATGTTACTTTATTTTTCTTTTGTTGTCATAGTGTAATGCAAATACTTGTCAGAAACAATCAGAGGTTGCATTTACTGTCGAATTCAAATTCAAATTCAATTTCAATTTTCTGAGAATAAAAGTAAATTCGGTAAATCGGTATTAGATTCAGTATGAATTTTACATACGTAGTGTAACACTCACTAATTTTATAATTTTTTTAATTATTTTTTTAATTTTTAATTTATTTTATTTTGTTTATTATATAATTTTTAAATTTTAATTGATTTATTTAATTTAATAAAAATAAAAATAATAATAATTATAAAATTAGATAAAAATATTATTTGGATTTAATTGAAATTGATTTTGGAAAAAAATGTGAAAATTTGGATTCTGGGGGTATTTTTGAAAAGAAAATTGAAAACCGGAGGTCAAAACGCAATTTAGAAAAATTGTGCCCCGTCAGCGTCACGTCAGCGGCCACGTTAGCGGCCCAGTCAGCAGCCCTGGCCAACCAGGACCTGCTACGTGGCAAGGCCACGTCGACCTGGGAACGGGCCACGTGGGCGATCCGCGTGCGCGCGATCGGACGGCCCAGATGTGTCCCCGCGCGCACGGACGGCCCAGATCAAGCGTGCGCACGGACGGCCTAGATGCACGCGCACGGACGGCCTAGATTCAATCAAGTACGGACGGCCCAAATTTAATCTCGATGGACGGCCCAGATTTAATCCAAATTAAATCGCGATCGAACGGTCTAGATTAAATCAAGATGGACGGCTGTGATTAAAAGGCAAATGGTATAAATAAAACCCCCACACCTGACCACAAAAACCCTAGCCGCCGGCCCTCACCGGAGAAGACGAACCAGACGCCGGAGGAGCCCCCCGCCGCCACCCGCCGCTGCACCGGAGAGTTTTTCGACCGCCGATCGAGGTAAATTTCATACCCCCGGCTCGTTTTTCAATGCTGAGTTCCCCGGTGGCCAAATCGGAGCCAAACTCCCAGCCAAACGGCCGGAAAACATGGCCGAAACCCAGCGGTGCCGCCGCGTCCCTCCTCGGTTTTTGCCTCCAATGAGGCCCTTCCCGGCCTCCGTTTGATACAATTTTTATATCACCGTGATCACCATTCTTTTCTCTACAAGTTGATCAGAGCCAAATCACCAAAACACGAACCACACCGGAGAGCCGCCGCACCCGAGAGCACTGCCGCCGGTAAGCTTCGGTTTTTCGTATTTTTTTGGCCCCCCAAGGGCCCTAGGGTTGTTTTATCGCAGGGACCGATGCAAGTGTGGCCGAATTCGGCCGCAAGCGGCGACGCCGTCGCCAGAGCACGGCGGAGCCGCCGTGTCGGAATTGCAATATTGGCCGAAAGGGGCCTTGGGTCTAATTTGTGATTTTTTGGGACACGTGCAGGTACCAGTAATGCGTTTCAGTTCCCTGGAAAAAAATTCAGGAAAAATTAGGGACAGCCTGTAGACGCACTGTAGAGCCGTATTCGGACCCCGAAACAAGTAAGGACCCCTCACCCTATTTCCTATCACAGTATTAAAGTTCAATAAATGATAAAACGGTATTTCATGAATCAATAGATGTGTGAAATTATTTAAGGTCGCTAATGGAGCCCGAGTCTGGTGTGTTTGTCGGTCAGCTGTTGTTTGGCCTATTTTACAGTTTTTAAATGCAGTATGAGGTCTGATGTTTTCATTTCATAGTTTCGTGTGCATATATCACTGTTTTATTGATTATGGGTTGAATGACTGAGAACCCGATGTTGTATGTTATCTTATTTGGCATAAATTACTAGTTTGCTTGTTTGTGTGTGATTTGATGATGCTGACTGAGGAAAAAGGAGAATGAAAGTTTAAGTAAATTGATAATTGTATAATGTGGTCAGCCTGACTAGATATCCTAGGAGATGGTGGACGGACCGGGTCCGTAGGAACCCTACCGGGATTGTGGTCTCTCATACCGGACGGGGTATGGAGACCTTATGTGTTTTGGCGCCCATACTGGACGGGGTGTGGGGACGGCCCGTTTCACCCTCATACCGGACGGGGTATTGAGGTTTATAGTTTTGGCGCCCATACCGGACGGGGTATGGGGACGGCCCTGGAATCTGATTACAAGTGTTAAGGGTTCACGGGTAGCGGACCCCTATGGATCCCCATGGATACTAGTAGGCTGGTAAATGAGGAAAAATATGTTGTGTAACGATTGAAATGCAAAATGTGTGATAAGTATTATGTTATACAGTTCATATGATTTCATGATGATGATAATGTTATTGCTTTCGTATGTTATTTTATGAACTTCACTGAGGTAAGTGGATAGTAAAGGATTTTATTATTGATAAAAGAATTTGTTGTAAATTATGCTTCATTGGTCTTTTTTGTTTTCTACCAACCTTTACCTCCGTGACGGTGAGATAGTGTGATGTCTTTACTGGTCTGGTGTAGCTCATTCCTTATTTAATCATTTCAGATCGGGAAGACATTGTTCCCGAGCCTGTTCCGTAGGAAGATGGCGAAGGGGACGCCTGAAGACTCCGTAATTATATTTATAGCTTTTATTTTCGAGTTTCTCTTTTAGTTAGTTTGTTCTTTTATACTTTGAGCACGTTTTTGGTTTTGGTGTAAGGGATGTTAATCAAAGTTTTTATTACGTTTCCGCATTTGACCTTTTTAATACACATATTCAATTTTAAAATTCCGGGGCCGTTACACGTAGAACCAGACCAAGTTTAGTTTTATAAATGTAACAGGCCCGGTAATTCAAAATGGAAATTATATTATAAATATTAAATGCGGAAGCGAGATCAAAATTTCGGTTAACATCCCTTACACGAAAACCAAAAACGTACTTAAAATATAAAAGATAAACTAACTAATA